CTTGTTCTTCTTGTTCTTCTTGTTCTTCTTGTTCTTCTTGTTCTTCTTGTTCTCCTTGTTCTTCTTGTTCTTCTTGTTCTTCTTGTTCTCCTTGTTCTCCTTGTTCTCCTTGTTCTTCTTGTTCTTCTTGTTCTTCTTGTTGCGTTCTTGTAGTTTAGCAAAGACAACTACTCTTTTTATCCATTTTTGACGATGTTGTTCCACTTCAATGTTGTATTTTTGCAGTTTTCTGTAATGAAGACAAAGAAAGACATCGTGAAAAGCGATCTATGGTAAGCTAAAGTTTTGCTTCTATTTGTGACTCGAACACAACGAACGCCCATAATATTTGCAACACTCATTTGCACAATGAACGCATTTTCAAGAAAAAAAAAATCAGTTATTGAAAAAAATTAATAATCAGAGTATCAAAATCTTATCAAACGTAATCACAACAGAAAGGTATAAGTGATTCTTGTGTTTGCGATTATGTGTGTGGTTGGTGTACTATAGCGCTCTAACTGGTCGTATTCCTTATGTTGCGACTCTTTGTTTCAGGTTCCGGTCCTTGAGATGACAGTGTCTTATGGAAATAATACTTCTATAATGAATTCAGGGTAATTATTCACTTCTAGCTTTGAAAAATTGGTCCGACGATGTGCTGCTATTCCTCCGGTCACTGTTTGAAAAACTCCTTTAGTAATTTTTAGTAACTTCTTTATAGTTAGCTAGCTCATCTCAATTGTACTCAATAGTAAAAGTTTACAAGTTAATTCTTTAGCGTTATTCTCTAGGATCAAAATGACTACAAAAACTACCGTAAAAATCGTCAGTGTCAACGGGCCTTTAGGATCGAAAATTTGACGCTAGCTGAATTGTATATAAGTTGCAATTATATAATGGTGTTCTTTACAGATCAAACTTCTATTATCAAGTTCATATCAAGCATGGTAAAGACTCTTCAGGTGACGCCAAGGGGACGAAGATTTTGTTTATTCTGACACCATTCGTCACTTTCAAAGAAGTGAAGTCCTACACCATCGTCAAGCCAGTACCTATTGTAAAAGATGATAGCGTAACGATGAAGGTAATGTTCTGAAATATCGCTCTATAGTTAGGAAGTTTTCTCGAAAGCTCGCAGGGCATGCCGGGCGACCATAGGACTTTAAACCGTTTCTTGCAATCTCCTATTATCTTAATTTCACAGCTAAATGACATCATCTGGTCAAGTGAGATTTCTTTTATATTCACCGTCACCCTCAACGGCAATGCCACATTACTGCCTGGAAAGCACCACGTGGTTACGCATGCGCAGTTGATCTATTATAACCAGTATGTTGAAGATGCGCAGGGACAGGTGACAAGCAAGGGTGATTTCTATACTCTACCTTTGCAAACGATGAAATTTGACTTCGAAATCCCAGGTAAAACATAGGTAGAGAGTAAATTATTCGGTTCAATTGTTTCATCAGAAGAATAGAGAAAATTTAGGATTTGATTACATATTGATAATTTACATCTATTAAATTGTTTAAATCTTAGAAAAATACTTAGACTTACAGTGTAGAAATCTAGATTTATGAATAACAATTGCTAGTTAATACATCTTCACAATAACTTTCGTTTTCTGTCCCCTTTAGTGCGCTATAAGACGACTAGATTTAGGCCTATTACTACATTAAAAAAATTACTGCTTTTGTTTCTCTCTTAACAATGCAATGTTATACTGGTGTATAATGATATTAGAATTCTATTTCTCTGTCTAGTCAGTTCTCACTAATGTAAAACGCTGTTGATTTCTATTATAAGACTAAGATTATATAAAAAYGGCTACATTACAAGTATAAAAATCTTCAAAAAACCCCAACAATGATTTCCAAAATCACCAAAGCTGTCTAATGAAACGCTATTGGTTTCTAGGATGTACGGGAGCACTTGGWATGAAAAGCAAAGACATTAAWGATTARCAAACTAGTGCCTCGTCKAGCTATGCCGAGGCGCAGCCGAGTCAGGCACGAGAATGTAAGTATTCTWACTAAATGATAGCCCTGGGGTAATCCATTGAATTGCTAGAGCTATAAACCAACTAATTAATGTTTAAGTTGCCTGGCAAAAGAGGTGAAAAATATGSAGAGAAACTATTGACGCTAAACTTGAACAACAACAATGTTGCGCTACAAGTTTAAGTTTTTTCAACTTCTCTGCTTTTATACAAACATTCAACTTTTTTGTCGTAGTTGATGACGGATGGTGTGCTTACCAATCCAATAAGGAGCAGTACTTACAGATTGACTTCACTGATACTAAAAGAATCACTGGTTTGTCAACCATTCGTCGAAAGTCTAAACCGCATTGGGTAACAGAATACAACCTCATGTACACACTTGATGGTGAACAGTGGAAGGATTACATCGGAAATGGATTTAAAAAGGTATTTTTATCATGTATTCTTTCTTTTTTATACGAATAGTCTCC